TCCTCACTGAGAAACTGCTCCTTACAAAAGTACGTAGACCTGGAAGGAAGGTTCTCTAACACCCTGGAGAAAGCCAGTCTACCACCCCAGGAGGCCTGTAAACCATGAGGGAAAAGGACAGGGGGTGGTGGAGGCTTGTCCAGACGGCATGTCTGGGCTCGGACACACTCATTTCATGCTTTTGGGAGATCTCAGGAACCATGGGCCTTCTGTCCTGATGCACTCTGGCTGCTTAAGGAGTTGGCTTGTTTTGTGTGTGTGTGTGTGTGTGTGTGTGTGTGTGCGCGCGCGCCCAGACTTCCTGCATGGCTGCTTAAAGGGGGGTATCATGGGGTGGGGGAGAGACGTGGAAAGAAAAACATAAGAAATAGACAACATTGTTCATTCCTGCAAGGAGCCTGCAGTCTAGTAAGCAGAAATAAATACATAAAATGTAAATTTGCATTTGATTACTACAGTTACAGTTTCCAAACACAACATCTTTTTCAAACTATAGAAAAGTTATAAGACTAGCATAGTGAACCATCCATGTACCCTTCATTTAATTCATTTATTAATGTTTTATCTCGTGCGCTTTATTTGTCATCTATAAGGGTGCGGACTGATTTTTAAAAATATTTGATAATTCATGAGTGCCCTTGGTTGTAGCTTTTGGGGCTCAGACTGTCACAGATTTAGGCAATGAGGGGCACTACCCTGGCTCCTGTGTACCATGGGAACATGCATACCTTCCCCATGTTTTTATTTGCTGCTTTGTTTTTTATTTTTATATTCTTTTAGAACGTCTTTACTTGTTTCATCTTGGACCTGTCCTGCCCCTGGGATCAGCCATTTCACCAAAGATGACGGTTCCTTCTAAGGGGAAATAGTGCTAGAGACCAAGGTCTGGTGCCAGGTGTGCTCGTAACTACTGGGTGTCCTTGCTTCTGGACCCTGTCAGTAGGCAGGTCTAGGAAACACATGCATTTACATGCACACATACATACTTACCTTATATGTATATTTAGAAGTCATGAATTCATACCAACACCTCCAATTCCAGTTCATCCTCAGAGGGTTCTTTCTAGCCCTCCTCCCTTCCACATTTCTCTGTCCCTCCTTCCACAGTGAGGACCCTGGCTCCCCACGACATTGACACATTCATTCATTTGTCAAGTCCTATAATACACCTGAAATAATGTCAGCATTGATTTGCCCATATTGCTTCAAAAACCCAACCAACCTGCTAAGAAGAGTTCAGCACGTACGTGCGATTCTTCCGTCACCGCGGTCCGGCCCAGGACTGAGGGGCAGTCCAGTGTCCGTGAGCGGCTTGATGACTCTGCCTTTCTCCTTCAGTATGGCTGTGGTTTCATTTGCTACACAGTCGGATTCATTTGTCTTTTAACTCCCTTCTTCTTTAGGGGTATCTCCCCTGTTAATTTAATTAAAAATTTTTAATGTGTGTAATATTCGCTTGATTCCAAAAGTTAAAACTATAAAAACACGATACTTAGGAGTGCCCTCCTGTATTCCTTTTGCTCCATTTGCCCCCTTACTTCCTGCATTATCCTTCGATGTGGCCTGTGGTAACAGGCGTGTTTCCTTATTTCCTTTATTTTCTATGCCAAGGATAGCATGCTGTGTGCTTTTCTGTCCAGGGTCCTCTTCTCTTTTCCTGTTGATCATCACCCGAGGATATTTTCCCATTGATTTTTAGATAGAGTGGGGGGGGGGGGAGATTGAGAGAGAGAGAGAGAGAGAGAGAGATTACTGTGAGAGAGAGGGAGATTACTGTGAGAGAGACATCAATTGGTTGTTTCCTGAAGGATCCCAACCGGGGCCAGGGATGAGCCTGCAACCTGCCGGTCTGCAGGCCAGCGCTCTAACTGCTGAGCCCAAACCCCTTCTTACATCTTCTTTCATTTGATTGAACGCACCATAAACAGAATTCTGATCTGGAACACGTGGTCTTCTATCACTTGAGTTGTCAGAGTTCTAGTCACTTGTGAAGGTCTGACGCTTGCTACCAATAGCTTTGTTAAGTCAACTTTTGTAATAGTACCTTGTGTTATCCTTTAGTAAATAGGCTTCTACAATGACGAATTCTTACACAAAAGGGAAAACTTTTTTTTTTCACTATCCACTGAGGTCCACACAAAATTCGGTGGAACCAGGTGAGATTTTCTGGCCTGGAAGGGTTGCTGCGAGGGAGTGAGTTACTTCCAGCTCCGTGGCAGCGGAGCAGGACCGACAGGCCATCCCGTCCCTCTGCGCTAGGGTCTCACGTCTCCTTTCGTGCTGCCCTCCGCTCTGCCGCAGCGTGCGGCGGAGGGTCCACTCAGAGCTGTTGGCAGTTGCTCTCCCTTTGGCATTTCAGAAAGCTCCTCCAGGTGTCTTTTTTATGCCCAGATTCCGTAACTAAATATTGTACATTTGCACTTCACATCTGGACAGTGTTTTGTGATTTCCACAGCATCACCGCATTGGATGTTCTATTTAATCCTTGTGACACAGTAGAGCGGGTGTTATGTCTGCTTTGCAGGGAAGCAAACGGAAGCTCAGAGAAGTGGCAGCAATGGCAGGAGACCCCTGGCCTTCGGACGCGGAGCCCAGTGTGATCTGGGATGGCCAAGTGGGCAGCTCGGTTTGTCTCCAAGATCACATCCCCGCACCTTCTCCTGCACGCTGTCTCATAGCCGGTGGGAGGAGATTCATGCCCAGTACACGTTAGTCCTGTACAGATCAGTGCGTGTCACATGGGTCCTTCAGCACTTTAACATGAGTTCAAAGGGTTTACACAAACAGTTTTGTTATATGAACTTTTGTAACGGGCTATGATTTAAAACAAAGGGGCTGTAAGCCAGGACCCAGCAGTCATTTTTATTCTGAGATTTTAGTCATAGTAGGATTTATCCATGGGTACTTGACTGTGTCCCAACATCCAAAAGTGGGCAACAGGGGTGCAGCTTGTTAGGGATTTCTGTATTCTTAATGAAAAAAACAAAACAAAACCGCACGCACACAAACATGTCTTAAAATGCGACATTAAAGCAAACCCCTCATTTATAAAGCCTTTAGGTTTCATCATAACTCTTTTACTATCTTGGTAATCATTTTCAAGAAATCAGATCAAATGTGTAGCCAAAATAATACTGTGTATGTGCAATCATGCACATTTAGCACTATAAGTTTGGAATCAAAACATGCACAGAGATTTGTACTTGAATGCTTTTGGTAAACAATAGAATTGAAGGCCCACATACTTGTTCTTTGCAGTGTGTTTAAGAAAACATAATGCATTTCCATGTTGACACGTGACGCTCCCAGGCCCCCCTTTGTTCAGGGATGTGATCGTGGACTGAGTGTGGCTTTTTCCAAGTTCAGATTAATTTGGTGAGTCTACCCAGGACCGAGTTCTGCATGTCCTGTGTCTCAGGAAGCCTGGGAGGCCAAGAAGCCTCCAATCACTTTCAAGGGGTAGTCTGATGCCTTCTTCATTGAGACAAGGTATTCTCCCCCAGGAGGTGAGGCCCCTGGGCTGAGAGTGCAGAAAACATCTCGGGGTCTTCACCAGCTTCGGCTCACCCTGCAAATCCCTGGAGGGGGCTCCTCAGCAAGCTGGGCCCAGGGTGCACCACAGTCCTGCCCCCCCATTTCCCTGAGGGTGAAGATGGGGATGGACCAGCCCCAGCAGAGTAAAGGACAGGTTCTGGAGCGTCAGAGAGGGGGTGATGTAGGAGCAGTGAGTGTTGTCCTTTCTAAGTGTGGGCAGAGGGGAATCTTGGCAAGGATTCCAGTTTCATATCTGCAGTACCGGTGTCACTGGGTGTGCACCTGTCTGTTCCCCTGTCTGTTCAGCCTTGGACAGCCCAGAGTTAAGAGGGGGAGGGAAGAGAGAGAATAGGGGTTGGCTTTATGTAAGCAGGTCCTCTCCCCCTTTGTCAACGGGGCTGGGTTAATGAGGTCCCTGAAAGGGAGATGCCTGGCGTTGGATCGGGAGGAAGGCAGAGGGAAGACAGGTGACCTCCGTCGGAATCCAGGGTCTGTGTGCAGAAGCTGCACCGCCTGGAACCGCATCTTTCTTAGCAGCCTTTTCACTGTGCTCTGCATCCGCCACTCGCATACCTCGGCTCCGGTGACGGTTCACGGTGGGAAGGCAGATGACTGCTTGTGTGTGAAAATGGGGTGGGCGTTTACCCGACTCAGACTTGCTGAGAGGGGTGGGGTTCGGTGTATGTGCCTGGATGCAGGAGTGCAGACACGAAGGGCGGAGCAAACGGCGGCCCGTTGGGAACATGCCACGTCTGCCGAAGCCTTTCCAGGGCAGGTGTTCCTGTGCGTGGGCAGCGGATCGTGGGGAAAGATCATGGCCAGAGCAAGGGTTAAGAAAATAGTCGTGCTTCTCCAGTGTCATTTCCTGGCTGGGATGGGAGAGCAGGGCTGTGAGGCGGGTCCCCCGACCCTGTCTGCTGCTCTGCCTGGAGCCTGCAGGAGGAGGGGAGCTGGACTGCTCCACCGCTCAGGGCTCCGGGCAAAGGCTCAGCACGCAGCGGGAATGCTGAGTTTCTGAAGGCACTGCAGAAACACTGAACTCGGCCCTCTCTGACCACAGCTCGGCCCTCCTGGGGCCTTCCTCTTTGAACGGGGATGCCTGCTGCCTGAGGAGGCTCGGGGAGGTGGGCATCTGAGTTCAGGCCCTGGAGGGGGGTCAGCGGGCCTGCCATGACAGCACGTGGTGATTTGGGCCTAGGCTCCGGGGATCGCTGAGGTCCAGAAGGGAGTTCATTTTCTAAGAGAGGGTGCATGCGTGTTGGTGTGGTCCCTGCAGCGCTGACACCCACAGTCTTGCTTGGGAAGACACTGTCCTGTCTGTCCACGTGTGGCCCCTGTTGCTGTGCTCGTGTGGCTGTGCTCAGTGCTGTGTGTCCTGCCGCAAGACTGTGGTGCCGCAGGGCCGACGGCTCGGGCTGCGGGTCCCCGAGGGGTCCTGACACGTGCTTGTTCTCTTGCCCCCTCAGAGAATTCTCAAAGGAAAGGGAGAAGGCGAAAGCCCGGGGAGATTTCCAGAAACTCCGGGAGAAGCAGCAGCTTGAAGAGGACCTAAAGGGCTACTTGGATTGGATTACCCAAGCGGAAGACATTGACCCTGAGAATGAGGAGGAAGGAGGAGAGGAAAGCAAACGCAACAGTAGGTAGCGCCCTTCCCACTGTTGACCAGAGAGTGTGTGTGCCCGGCAGCAGGCGGGCCTGCCCTCTGACCCCCGTGAGGCCCTGGCCACCTCAGACATCCGGCTCCTCCTGCCTGCGCGCCAGAGACAACAAGTGCAGGTACCTGCCTCTGGATTTCTGCCTGAGGTGTGGATTCAGAGTTGTCTCCATCCCGTGGCTTTGTGCTGGCGGAGGGTCAGCCAGACGCACTGCTCGCTTCGGGAATTCAGTGAGCCCTTCAGAGCGGGACGCGGTGGTAAGACGCACATTCACGGGAGACCGTGTGGTCCCTGCCTGTCAGAGTGAGCAGTGTTACTGGCACTACCTGACGTGCCCCCCACCTGGGCCAGCCTTGGGAAGCCAAAGGCATGGCCCATCGGGTAGGGAAGAAGCCAGTTCCGGGCAGTGTTTAGAGGAGGGTGTGAGTCAGTTGGCTGCTTTGGCGCCCACTCACCTGTGCCCCACGCTGACACCAGGCACCAGAGCACGCCCTGCAGCGGGAAGGCCCAGTGCTCCGCCGCAGGAGCGAGTTGTCAGTGTCAACCGAGACGTGTCTCACCACGTACATTCCTCACTGGCGTGCTCTCCCTCCTGGGCCATCCGAGCCGCGGGTGAAAGTGGGTAGTGACATTTAGCAGTGGAGTTGACTACGATGTTGGTGATTCGTTTCAAATTTAGAACAGCTGATAGTAAAGACAGACAACATATTTCATAGGCATATGTCCATTATGAGACCAGGGAAACCAAGCTAGGCCCTACCCTCGGAGATGGCTGAGGGAGCCCCCTTAGCAGAGCCCCTCAGACGTCACTCAGCCACTCCTTCGTTCAGCAGGGCCCGGTGCTGATGCCAGGCGGGCTCCCGGGATGGAGAGGCTGTGCCTGGTCTTCTGGGGCAGGGCGTGTCTGCACACACACATGCAGCACAAGGAGACAGACGCAGGCGGTGTGCTGGGTGGCTGAGGGCAGGAAGGGCTGTGGAGGCGTTGGGCCTGGGCCTTGAAGGACAGATGGATCTGAGCTATGTCACAGCTCAGTGTCAGGAAAGGCATCTGAGCCAGGGCAGTGGCACGAGGAGGACACGGAGGAGGGCAAACTCAGGACTCGGGGAGGAAGCGGCAGGCTGTTGGTTTGGCTGGAGCACAGAGGATGCGTAGGTCATGGGACGTGAAGCAGGGAGGGCGAGGCCAGCCTGTGCTGCTGCTGTAGGCAGGAGAGCATGGGGCCGAGGCCATGCTGGAGGGCGCTCCTGACTGAGATGGCCTTCAGTGACTTCTAGCCGGGGTCTGAGGCTGCGATTCCACGGGGAGTGAGGGTTTCCTGCCATCATGGATGCAGATGATTGACTGAGTCCTGTGTACCATTGAGGAAGCCAGTGGAGCGCAGGCCGCTCCCCTCCCCTCCCCTCCCGGCTGCTTCCCAGGTCTCGCCCGCTGCTCCTCCAGGAAGAGCCTGGGCTCACCGCCTAAGGATCGGGAAACCACAGGGGGATTTCTAGAGCTGACTGTTGAATTTGAGACCAGAGTTTATAAGTGGATGTTCATTTGAGTTCCACACTTGGTGGTGTCCTCTGGGTGATTGGGGACAGGAAGAACATCTGCATGTCTTTGGCACAGCTCTCCCAGATGTTAGAGCCTGCACCCCCGTGGCCTTCACACCCGCAGTGTGGCCAGCAGCCAGCCGCTTGCGTGCAGCCTGGGGAGGGCCTGCGTGCTCTTGGCCTCTTCATTCCCGGGCCATGCCGATGCTGCCTGCGGAGGCCCACCAGCCGCCCGGCCCTTCTAAGCCCAGCACCTAGCACCTCGTGTGTGAGCCAGGGAAGGCGCTGCTCCCTCTCTGAGCAGAGCACTTGTGCTAGCTTAGGGGTGTCCTGTCGGGAGCTGAGCGCGGCCTTCTTGCAGGCTGACGGCCTTTCGCCTCTCTTGCTCCACCTCTAGAAAGGGACCCACGTTAGTGCTGCCGGGGTCAGTTGTGCTGGGCCGTTTTCATGGCCTGTGATGTGAGGAGTGGGGATTTTCATGGACTTGCAGCAATGCCTTCTGGTGTTCCGGTGGGTCCACACTGTGTCTTAGCCCCGCATTTCCTGTGTCCTGCTTCTGTCGGTGAAGAACCCGACCATGGGATGACAAAAGCGGTGCCTCTGCCTTTGGGGACCTGAGACGGAGAAGCGGTGCCTCCGTGTCAGATGGGACGAGCTGGCACCGTCAGCAAGGGCCAGCAGTCGGCTGTGGGAGCCCAGAGGGCACAGCAGCGCGGGCGGGTGGGAGTGTGGGGGGCTCCACGGAGGTAACCCTGCTGAGTCTGAGGGGTAAGCCTCCTCGGGCTGCAGAAGGTGGGGACGGCTTTTCCGGTGAGGAAAGGGGATGAACGAGGTGAGGAAGGTTAGAATGTTTAAAGCCTTCAAGTGCATGACTTAGTGATATGATCCAGAAAAGAAACCCCCTTTCAAAGTCATAGACCCTCAGAGTCCACGTTGTAACGGCTCCTGAGGCCGTAAAGCTGCACCGTAGGTCTGGAATGTCCGCGTGCGGCCCTGCCACGCACAGGGTGTGTGCCCCTGCCTGATCCGGAACAGCGCCTCCTTCTGTGCAGCGCCCTGCTGTTGTCGGGCTCAGTGGCCCGGTGCCGCGGTCTCCTGTGGAGCGGGGCTCACAGTTCCTCCCCAGTCATCAGAGCCCGGAGCCCTGATGATGAGGGTTGGGAATGAAGACATGAATCCTGGGCTGTGGTTCGCACTGGGATGGAACTGACTAAGAAAACCCTGGTCTCCTCCTGACGAGAAAGTGGGCCTCCCCAAATACATTTCCCGCAGCCAGACCTTCTGGAGAAGCATCACTGTGGGTTTCCCTGTGATCTCCCATGGCTACCAGCCATTCGCCTCTTGTCCCAGCCAGACACCACAGGGGTGAGGGTTTCAACAGGGCCCACGTGGTCCTCCTCACCGACAAACAGGTCGACTTGCCACTGCACACCCAGGCCTGGTGTCTGTCATCGGTTAGCAGGCAGAGAATCGTGGGTGAGGCTGGTGCCAGGGAGCCCTCTGGGTGTGTCCGATCCTCGCCCGCACACCCCATGCCCAGCCCCGCCCCTGCATTGTTCTGGGGAAGGGGATGGCTGGGACACTGCTGGGCTCCTGACTGTGCCCACACTGTTCAGGATGCTGACTTCACGGACTGCCCTTTGCAGGTGGGTCCTGGATGGGATTCCCCAGACCCTGGGGAATTAAGCAGCAGTGTGAGAAGCAGCCCTCCCTGATGGCCCAGCCGCGGCTGAGGGGAGCAAAGGGGAGAAGAGCTAGCCATTAATAAAAAGTTGTCAGGGCCCACCGGAGGGGGCGCTGGGCTGGAGGTCATGCTGACAGCCCTTCCCTAATCAGGCTGCAGTTTAGTTTTGTGACTTAGAGTCTGGACTTGAGGGTTAGGCACATGACCCGACATCTCTGAGCCCTGGCCCCTTATCTGTAAGAAGGGGATGGGGAGATTGGCCACCACGGCGGCAGGCACTTGTGAGACGCCCGTGGAACTGGGGTCAGAGCTCCTTTTGCAGATTCTCGAGACCTCCAGCCAGCCTCCAGGGAGGACCCGTTTTAGGACCATGTCCCTACACCTTCCTTTTTAGAAACTGTGATGGAAAACAAACTTGTTGACCCGGTCACTTTCGAGATAGGGTGGCACAACTTCTGACTCTTGAAGTCCATTTCTAGATGGTGGCTGCTGGCTGTCAGAGAACAGATGTCAAGTCAGCGCTTGGCGAGGTGCTCACGTTATCTTTCCTCTCTGGTCCACCAAATGCCGTTTTCTGCATCTGTGGTACCCAGCTCTGGCCGTAGGTGGTGGCCCCCCTGGGGAGCACCGGTGCTTCCTGGTGTCATCCCCACCCCACGCTGGTGGCTGGTCCATGATGGGGCTGGACGAGGCTTTATTTTTTTATTTTTTTATCCTCACCTGAGGACATTTTTCCAATTTTTGTACAGATAGAGTGGGAGGGAGGGAGAGGGAGAGGGAGAGAGAGAGAGAGAGAGAAACATCGACGTGAAAGGGACACATCAAGTGGCTGCTACCTGCACGACCAACCAGGGCCCAGGACAAACTGCAACTGAAGCACGCACCCTTAGCGGGAACCGAACCCGGGTCTCTCAGGACCACAGACCGATGCTCCAACCACTGAGCCAAACCGGCCAGGGCTGGACGAGGCTTTATTCACAACTTCTGGAGGTTCCGGTGTAAAGCCAGAGTTGGAGACTCCTGAATGCCCTCCTTCTGAAGAGCACACTGTTCTCGGCTTTCACTTGAAAGATGACAAAAGGAGAGGCAGTCGGGTCCCCACCTGGGCTGTCTGGTGGCTGGGTGACTGACTGCCAGCTCCGAGTGTCACGGACACCTAGAGATGTCAGTTCCACGAATTTGCTGTTAGGAAGCGGGCATTACACAATTAATCGAACGGACAAAATTCCTTTGGAAGTTAGTTCCTGAGCATTTGGGAGATTTTCAAGGATAATTTAACTTTTTGCTGAGCTTCAGATTTCTTAAGAAACCCTGCCAAATCTCAAAGTGATTTTTCAGACGTACGCAGCTGCTTCCGAGTTAACAATGGCGTTTTTCTAGGGCCATTAAAATCCGAGAGCCTAAAATTCTATTTTAAACCCTTCTCATTGTCAGTGATTAGTGTAAAAAAAAAAAAATAGCATTAAAAATAATGAAATGGGTTGAAAGGGAGCTCCTTCTGAAATCCTGGGCAGAAAAGCAGGGCCGTTGCACTGTGGGAGCGATGAATGATCAGCAGTCCCCGTCAGAGGGATACTGATGCTCAAGGAGAGGGAGGGAACACCTGGTCTCCACCTCTGACTCTGCGGAGAGCCCGTGTCCTCCTCATCGGCCGTCCCAGACGGAGGCTGTGCGCGCTGCTCCTCCCGCCTGGCACCAGGACTCTGCCCCTCAGGTCTCTGCACACAGGTGGCCACGGCCATCACCTCCCTGTGCACCT